CCCCAACCCCGCGTTTCGGAGCCGCTCCCGCCGCCCCTCAGCCGGCGCCGCCCCGAGGAACGGCCGGCCCCGCGCTGACAGCGGCCGCCTCCCGCCCTCCGTCCTTCCCCACGGCCACGAGGTAAAACGGCCCTAAAGGCCTCGCTGCCCCTTCGCGGCGAGGACCGGACGAGCGGAAGCACCGCGCGGCCGCCGCCGCCGCTCCCCGCTCACCTCACGCGCCGCCGGCGGCCGCGCTGCTCACGGGGCGGCGAACCCGCGAACCGGCCGCACCCCGCCGCGCGCATGCGCAACGCGCAAGCGCAACGTTACGCCGGCGGCTCCGCAAGGGGGCGCTCGATACGAGATGGGGACGCTCTGGTTGAGCGGCGTCATCTCGATGGCTCCGGGGACGGGGAAATGGGGGAGGGGGGGGTCGAACGGCCCTCAATGTCAGTGATATCGTGATATCGCCGCGTTGGCTCCGCTTTGTGCTTTTATTACTCGTCCCTTGTGATCCCTACGGGCTGCCCAGGGCTCCGTCTGCTCTTGCAGAGCCCCTCCGCGGCGCCGCGCTGTTGGCTGCTTCCATCTCTTCGTCCTCCTCCTCTGACCAGCTCAGGCTGTCATCCGAGTCCTCCTCGGGCTCCTCCGTGCTCACCGCCGCCTTCTCCGGCTCGTCCTGAGCGCAGGCCTTGCTCTGGAGATGCTCAAGCCTGGCCCAGGCCCCGGGGTTGGCCTTACAGAGCGTGATCTCCACCTTGGAGGGAACCATGCTCACGAAGCTCTTGTGTGTCTCGATGACCTGGAGAGGGGGCAGAGCGCGGGGAGATGAGGGCTGGCAGCGCCCAGCCGTCCTCCCTTCACGGCGCGAGCCCTGCAACGGCAGCAAAGAGGAGAGCGGGCAGAGCGGGAGCAGAGCCAGCGCCTGGCTGAGCCTCGCCGCGCCGCACCTCGACTGTGTGGGTGCCGGGCTCCCTCACGGCCCCCTCCTGTGAGGCACTGGCAGCTCTGCAGCCGGCAGGACAACCCGCCGCAACAGCGGGCAGCGAGCACCGGGAATAAAAGCGAGAAGGGTACGTGCAGACTGCTGAGCCTCGCTGCTCCTCTGCGGCCAGGAGTTGGAAAGCGAGGCTTGCCCTTTGCGTGGCTTCAGAAAACACAGGGACTGAGCCAGACGCGAGGAGAAGCAAAATCCAGAATGCCTGCACTCAGCGGCAGCACTCAGCCCTGCTCTCAGTCAAGGACCGGGTGGTGCAAACACCAGCAAAGCTCTGCTCACAGCCCCTAGCAGAGATGGCTACAAATGCCCATACCTGGGCATTCTGGCTCCCAGGCGGTCCCAGCAATGAGCCAGCTCTGAGAGAGTGTTGAAAAGAGCAGCCACGGTGCTTCAGGTAATGGAGAGCAGCCAGGCACAGCCCTGACATGGCTCGTGGGGATTGCTACACGTACAGGATCAATAGAGAAAAGCATAATTTCCCCATCAGCCTTTGCTGCTATAGAAAACTGCAGCTCTGGAGATAAACAAATCCTCTCTGCTGCAACAGCAGCGATGGATCTGTGTTCTCTGCAGGGCTTCAGGAGTTGGCAGCAAATAACACCAAGGGAGGGACTGTGAAATGGCTGTTTGTTCCACAGATACGCCAGCCTGTGCTCAGCAAACAGCAGAGTCCCACGGGTCGCAGCGTTTCTGCATGATAATGCAATTAAAGTCTTCCTCATGCTGCATGCACAGGAAGGACTGTGAAGAAATCGTAGCAGCAACCATTTTGCTGCTTTTTCAGAAGTCTGAGACGACACAGGGAATAATTTTTTTTACTCAGAGCCTGTGTTTGGGGCTGCAAATCTTCTCCAGCAGCACAGGCTGCAGATTTCTGATCAGGGAAATCAAAGTAAACAGGATCTTACCCCCCAGAGATCAAGTTCTGCCTGGAAAATCTTATTCCCTTCGAAGATGACGTGAACTTCAAGCTGAAAGATCAACAAAAAATCATCTTAGTGGGCAGCATAACACTTCAGAGCTGTTCCCCGGACAGTGCAGCTGCCTTCCAGCACTGTAATGCCTCCCACATCCCAGCTGCAGTCTAACAGTCTGCTGATCCCTTCAACAGCTGACTTTCACCCCCATCCCTATCCTGTGGGTCCACCCCTGCCACCAACCCAAGGAGTGTTGGGAGCACCGACCCCAGCTGTCAACCAAACAGGGATTGAAAAGTGCCAGCAACCCACCCAGCTCTTGGCTCATCAGCATGGGTGCCATGAAAGGCAGGGCACACTGTGTGCCCCAGCCAGCTCTCTCAGCCCCACTCACCACAGTGCGGTTGGCCTTCACAGTGCTGAGGGTGGGCAGAGGGTTCTTGCCATAGATTGTCACCACCACTTGGCTGCTGGTTTGGTGCCAGTCCTGCCTGCATGACACCGCCTTCTTGTCCTGCCAGGGAAGGAGAGAAGCTGATGGTGCATAGACAGCAGAAGGGATGTTTGTGCTGAAGGATGCTCTGTCAATGACTCTTTTGCAGAGTGCTGGCTGAGGGCGGTGTCAGAGCACAAGCAAACCATGCTTTTGGTGCATGTTTTCAAGGGGAGGTGGTTCATGTGAGGGTGGGCAGCGTCTGCCAGACTGCACCATGAACATGGAGCATCTGTGCTGTACTTGAGGTTGCTTCAGAAGTGTAAAGACCAGAGACATCTCCTTGTTCGAGTCACTCTGCAGTGCCCAAGCTCACATCAGGAGCAGGCACTGTGCACATCCAGAAAGCTTGGTCTGGAGGGCAACAGGGGGACCATCATTGGATGTAGATGATGCCAACACACTTAGTTTGTTGCCCAACTGCTCACCTTTCTCACACAGGAGCTTTGGCCCCACCAGGCATTTCTGAGCATCACCAGGAGACAGAGCCTGCTGCAGCCACCACCACAGCAACCAAAGTAACAGCGGGGAGGAATCCCAGCCCCTCACTCAGGTAACAATTTGCACAAAACATTTGCACTACAACATCACAATTAATTCACTGTGCTGGGACAACAAATGACTCCCTGTTAAAGCAGCCTCCCTTGCATCCCCAGCATGTTTTCTGCCCAGGACAAAGAACATCCTGAGCTCTGAGAGGGGCTCAGAGGAACATGGTGCGCTTTCAGAGATATCCTTGGCTGTTTTGTTGCAATTTTCCCAGCTCCAGCCTCTTGCCAGCCAAGGGAAACTCTCTCACACACACAGCTGTGAATTGGCACCTTCCCCCCATCGCCCTGCCACAACACCAAATCGCTGTGTGGATGAGGTCCCTCCTGTGAAGCAGCTGCAGAGAGAAGGCTTCACAATAAACAACTGCAGCCGTTTGCAGACATCCGCCAAAACTTTTGGGGGATTTTTGCAGGGCTTTTCCTGTGCTCGGCTGCCTGTTCCTGTGCAGCAGCACTGTAGGCTGCATGAAGCAAGGGCAGAGGCAGCCCTCCTCCAGCTTCCTATTGCACGCGTGCCGTGGGCACAAGAGCTGACAGGTTGTGTGAATGAAGAGGCAGTGTTTTAAACAACAGATGAGTGAAGATTACGCATTCAAACCCTGATCCAGTCATCCGTGGGCGATTATGATAATTAAGAGAATTAGATGTTAATGCAGAACGGGGGAAAGATCACACCTGAAGTACCAATTAAGAGCTCTCCCCCTGGCAGCCACCTGCCCAAGAGCTCCCCTGCTGCTTTCCCATCCCTTACCGCCTTTCCCATCCAGCAGTGCCGCCCCGTGCTGCAGCCCGGCTGCTCCAGGAAGGCACTGAAGTCCGTCGTTCTGATCCCACAGCAGCTCCAGTACTTCATCCTGGGGAGAGCAGGGCTGCCTGAGCGGGGAGTTGGAGCCCAAAAGGACAGGACTGCGCAGACCACTCCCAGCCTGTGGCAGGGTGAGCTTGCTCCCCTTTAAGGATGGTTTCTTACCCCTCGTGGAAGACGGGAACACCAGGGTGGAAAGTACAAACCTCTGTGTTGCTCTCTGGCCCCTGGTAGACCTGTGGGCAAAAAGCAGAGACAACCCTTGGTTGTGCCTCCAGCACGGCACGGCAGTACAGCTGGGCTTCTGCCCATTCCTGTGGTGCTGCCCTAAGGATGAGAGGGATGCTCATCTGTTCTGCCCCTTCTCCTTCCCAGAGTGTGTCACTCCCATGTCCATTGCTTGCTTCCCTCTCTGCTTCTTTCCAAGCGTGCTGTCCTCCCTGTAGCACAAGCTTTGATGCTGTCAGACCATCCCACATGGGGCGGCTTTAGGGCAAGACAGAACATGGGCTATGCTTCAGGAATTAAAAGCAGGCAGCAATTATTCCATCCCCATTTTCAGAACAAAGGTCCTGAATACGTGCTGTACACCATTGCAAGCAATTAGCAGAAGTGGAACACGGGTGTACCACTAATCCAGGAATTCAGATGCCTCTTGGAGGAATGTGTCCTGAAGTCAGCAGGAACAGCCACCTCCCCCTGCCCAGCAACCTGCCCTGCATGCAGGGAAGGGGAGCAGCACAGCACAGTGATGCTGGATACTCACCGCCTTGCAGGCTGCGTTCTTACAGGTGGTGCCAGCTCTCACCTGGGCAGCTGCCTCCCCTGCAAGGACACCACAGCTTTGCTCAGGGACACACAGCATGCCCCAAGCCCTTCCTGCAACCCCTGCTCCAGGCTTGGCAGGAAAGACCTGCTGGTGGCCATCAGCTCATCGTACCTGCGCAGTCGCCCTTGGGCTCCTTGTTGTTGGGAGACAGGCTCAGTTTCTCCAGTGCTTGCTCGAGAGATCTAGATACTTTGATTGGCAGCAGTTGTCGTGGCTCATCAGAGCTGGAAAACAACAGCAGCAGAGGATGAGTGGGTGTTTGTTTTTTCCCATGTAAGTGTTGCTGCCTTTTCCCGGGAAGCAAGCAGGGCAAGACACATGCATGAGGAGTGGTATGGCCTGACTGAGCCTCCCTCACCTTGGTCTTTCCCGCTGCATCTTCTCAGCTGATTTTGGTCCTTGGACGATGATCTCTGCCATTGGCTTGGCCTTTGGCTGGTCTGAGGTCTCTTCCTGGGAAGGCTCAGGAGGCTTCTCCTTGCTGTGAAACCCCTTTGTGCATCCCTGAGCAGCAGAGACAAGCCTGATGTTTGCTTTCCCCTTTCTAACCTGCTCCCAAATCCTATCTCTGACCTGGTGTCTCTGTGTCTTGCAGAGACCCTACACGAGGGCAGGGGTGTCTGCAGGGATTCCCGGGTGACAATTCCATGTGCAGTTTCACCAGGACCACAACAGAAATGCCTCAGCTCTGTCACACTGCAGCCAAGTGGCAGCAGGAGCCTCCTGCCCCTCCTTGGGCCTTCTCTTGCCCCCAGCACTGCTCAGACACCACAGCTGTGCTGGCACATGGGGAAGTGCTGCATGGAGGGGAGGTCCCAGCTGCTGTGACACTGCTCTCCAGGAGGCAGAACCCAGGTGCAGACAAGGAAACCCAGTCCAGGAGCCATCCAGTGTGAGCCACTCACCTTAATGGAGAGGAACTCAGAGAAGTCTGTTGTGCGCTTCTTGCAGCAAGACCAGCCCTGGGCACCGGGAAAAGACAAAATGGTTGGGGCGGATGATCCCGCTGGACACAAAGTCCCAACCTGCAGCTGCAGTGCTGCTCACCTTCAGGGCATCATGGAAGATGGGGACGCCCGGGTGATACAGGCAGGAATCTGAAGAAAGGAAAGCACGCAGAGCCTTTTGTGAAGGGCAGTCCTGCCTGTGAGCTGCCTGTGCTGTCCAACAGCTCCTGAGCTGCCTCCTTTCCCCTGGCAGGCACGAGGCCAGCACACAGCAGCAGCTGAGGCTGCAGAGCAGGAACACATCAGGCACCCCAGCACACCTCGGTGTGAGGCAGAGGAACGTACTTACCCTCGGAGTTGTGCTCAGGATCAAACCTCTGCCCACAGCCCTTGTTGTAGCACAGCAGCGCCATGGCTCAGGCAGGCACGCAGTGCCTTTCACTCCAACAAAAATCCCATCAATCTCATCCCCCTCCACAGTTTCCCCTCTGTTTCCCCGTAGTTTCCAGCACAGGGGCCGGGAGGTGGCTTTGCCTATCTTTGGAGGCAGCTGGAGGAGGTGGTTGGTAACCGGAGAGCTGGCCAAAGATGGACACGGCAGCTGACGGGGCACTGCTGTTATCTGCAGAGGCATTTGTGTCCTGCCCCCATGCTCCAGCATACGCAGGCGCCTGGAAGAGGGGATGTGAGTTGTGGGGCTCCCCGTGGGTGGGCTGAGTTCTGCCAGTGCCCACATCCCACCTGCATCTGGCATGGGGCATCCACACCACATGGTGCTCAGCTGCGTGTGGTTGCAACACCTGAACTGCTGCAGGGATGGCTCTCCGTTCATTTATCATTCAGAGATGCAGCTGAAAGTTTCCTGCAAAGGAAGAGATTTTCTGGGATGAAATCCATACTGGTCTCTGCATGATGATCTGCTGGACACAACGCATGTGGCCCAAACATCCTTAGTGCAGGGCCTTGTGCAACGCAGGGCTGGAATCTGTCCATCTGCTATCTCTGCCTGCACCATCATCACAGACGCGTGCAAAATGCTCCCCATACCCAGAGGAGGTTTGCTAAGGCTCCCTGCTCCCATCCCGGGACCTGGGATTTCCTCCTATGGACGGGAAGTCCTCTTGAGCTGAAAAATTTTACTTAGTTCCTACAAACATCTGAAAGAAAAGTGTATTTTTGTTGTTCCTGTTTGTAGACACAGGCATTTCCTGGGTGCTTTGGAGCACACAGCAGCCGCCCAGCACTTCTGCTGTGGAACTGGCTCTGAAAGCCCTTGGCACAGCCCCGAAGTGTGCCCTATGAGCAGTGCAGCATACCTACCCTCTGAGTAACACGGTGCTCTGAGGCACAGGGACCTGAGGGGCACAGAGAAAATTCAAAGGGCTCACTTCGTTCCCAGGAAGCCAGGCAGAGCCCTGTGACAGGGAATGCCTAGCCAGGGGGCTGTGTGCTGCTATAGGGTTTCAGATCTCCTTGTCCTTTCTGTCAGCCGTCAGTGTGGCTGCAGCTGTTGCCATCCCATGCCAGCAAAGATTTGCAGTTCAGGTTACTTCGTGGAGGAAATGCTGAGGCGATGCTGGGGCAATGGGCAAGCAGAACTCCCCAGCACCACAGCAGAGCAGCAGCTGGGCTGTCCCTGTGCGCCTGCAGGAAACCAGGAGCAAACCACAGCACTGCTCACTGCACAGCTGTGGGTTAACGTGGGGAGCGAAGCTGCCGGAAACCACACGTGCACAGAAACACCAATGAGCTGCTGTGTCTGCAGCTCCCAGCCCAGCAAGGATGAGACCAAAGGTTGCAGTGTGGGGACAGGCTAAAGACACCCATCGCTAAGCAAGGATGGGCCATAGGGGTCCATAGCAGAGCTGGTGCCTTTGGTGTGCTTTACAGATGATGGCAAAAGCACAGCATGAGGCTGCACAGCTCTCATGATTCCTCCAGCTTTGAGCTGGGGCTGTCAGCAGTCGTGGTCCCGTGGTGCTGCAGCCCATCCTGACCTGGCACACAGCTCCAAGCACAGCACAAGTCCCTGGGCTGGCCATGCACTGTGCCTCGGGAGCAGTGTGCAAGGAACAGCCAGCTAGGGATTACAAATAAAGCCCCTTTAGCTTATGTGCAATTAATTTGGTAGAGCAGAGAACAAAAAGGAGATAGAGAAATTGAGCAAATCATTTTCAAAATCCTTTTTTTTTTTTTTAATCACCAAAAGGAGAACAGTTTGCCTGGGACTGGTCTGCCCTCGTGCACATTGCTACCAGTGGTCTCTAAACTAAAGATGCTATGCATGCTGGAGCAATAACATCAACTACAGATGGTGATTTGCACTGTTTGGAAAGCTAAAGAAGAAAAAAGCTTATAACTTTTGCAACAAGTACCTTGCAAGAAGTAGCATAGGGCACAGCTATAGCTGAGGTGTCCAGCATGGAGCTGCAATTTTGAGCTTGGAGTACTGAGCCTGAAAGCAAATGCAGCCTCACGAAGGAAGCGGTGTGTCAGAAAGGAAAAAACTCCAGGCACAGATCTATGGGCGACCTTCATCTCCAACCATAAACACTGTCCTGCAGCTGGGCTGTCACCCCAGCACTCTGGTCTCACTGAGTGAGCATGCACTAATACTGGTGCAGACTTTCTTGCTGTCTTTCAGGCTGATTCTCGCTCCCCAAGGAAGTTCCACCTCCTCAGAGATGAGCTGCTGCTTCACTCTAGTGCTCACTCACACAGATAGTATTCCTCACCAGAAAGCACAGACAGTCCTTAGTAGGAACTGGTCCAAAAAGAACTGAGTGCAGTCCGCCCTGAAGATTCACTTTTCTCATCCTCAGCTGGCACCCAGCATGAAAACCTTCCTTTGGAGGGTGCTGTTGCCTTGAAGCACTCACTACAAGCATCACACAGAGCAGGGAGGCCATGTGCAATGATGGAAGGAGGTCCCAAAGGCACAGCTCTGTGAGGGGCTGAGCTGCACTGCTTTCTTGTTCTCCTTTCAGGCAGCTCTGGCTCTCACAGCCATCAAACATGGGGGGAAAAAAAAGAGGGAATGGTGGCTCCTTTCAGCATGGCCACAGGAAACACCTTCTTTGGAGTTACAAAAATGGTTCATTAGATAAAACCACTTGTGGCTCTCTGTAATAAAAGGCAGCTTCTGGTGAGCTCCTGTGCATCAGGAAAAAGGAAAAAAAAAAAAAAAAAAGGAAATTGCTATCTATTTGATGTGATAAAATTACTCGGGTTCCAGCTGGATTGTCCAGATTTGATTCTTGTAAATGCAGGCACTGTTTAAAGGGAAGTAGCATGAATCACAATCTGCACAGCTCACAAAGATGGGGATTTAAAGCTAAGGAGCAAACTGCTGCAAGCCAGGCTGCTCATCAGCCCTCAGTCCATCATGAACTGATACTGCATGAGTGCATTTTAACCAAGCTGATCAGAAACAACAGCAAAAGGCAGTGGTATCTCCTATGACAGTAGATTTTCTGTCTACAGCTATTTAACAGCCAATGATCTGCAAAAGCATGCAGAGTCAGACACACTCTTCTGCTCACTGACTGAATTTCAGCACATCTGGGCAGCGCTCATACAGAACCCACTCTGTAGAGCTGCACCAGCTGCCTTACCCAAGCAATGACAGCAGCAGTGCTTCAGCAGCTCCAGGGTCTGGAATTGCTCTGGAGCGATGCAGCCCCTCTTGTTCCTGCACTCTGCCTTGAAAGCTTTTGCACTGCAAGCAGTCTGTGGTGCCATTCCTTCCTGCTGAGCGCCTCTGGAAGTAGCAATAATGGATTTCTTTACAATTCCCTTCCCAGATCCTCAGTGCAGGTTTTCAGTTTCTTCCTTCTTTAAGCAAGAGCAGCTCTTTCTAGCACTCACAGTGGGGCGCAGCTTTAGTTTCTTCCTTTGCTGTCAACACATCCTCCAATTTCTTAAACCTGTTTTGTTAGATGAACCTTGAGCAGTGCTAAATCCCCCCCAATTCTGTTACATCCATTTTGTCCCAAAGCCTTAGTAACCTGCCCATCCTTACCTGACACTTGAATAGGACCAAGGCAGTGGCTGGAGCACCCTCATACTTGAGCTCTGTGCCTCCCCTAAGGATCACAGAATGGCCAGGGTTGGAAGGGACCTCAAGGATCATGAATTTCCAACCGCTCTGCCACACGCAAGGCCACCAACCTCCACGTTTAATACCAGCCCAGGCTGCCCAGGGCCCCATCCAACCTGGCCTTGAACACCTCTAGGGACAGGGCATCCACAGCCTCTCTGGGCAGCTGTTCCAGCACCTCACCACTCTCTCTGTGAAGAACTTCCCTCAATATCCAACCAAGGCAGGGACTTCTTGCACTACTCACTAACAAAACCAGCAGAACAACAGACAGAAGACTGAGACACACAGCTGAGTGTAACTTCACAACTTCTTTTTAGTTTTTCATATTTTGGAATCAAAATATCTACTTACCAGCCACTCTGCTTTAAGGAAAGCCTGTCAGTGACACTCCAGCCAGGAGGCAAAGAGCAGAGGCAGCCCCTCCACGAGGAGAGCCATTCTAGCCAGATTTTTGGGGATCTACTCAAGCAAACATGGCAGGTGAGAAGCATTGCTCAACTCCTCATACTGCACTACAGGTAAATCACAACTCCTCTCAGAAGTGCCATTAAATGCTGTATTCACCCAAGCATGCCAGATGCTCATGCTGTTGCTGTCAAACATGGAAATAAGCAATGGAAACAAGAGCAGCAGCTGTAGTCTCTCCCCAATCGTTTATCAATCATGCAATTACAGGCTAATTACAATTAATCAAGTGACAGGTGTAAACCAATGAAAGCCTTCAGAACAACTACTGCACCCCTATTTTAACAGGGTACCTACAGGCCAAACCATAATTTCTAAAAGCTGTTACCTTGGTATTGCCTGTCATCTGACAAATGCTTTAATCTTCCCTATTATTTTTAAGCCTGGAAGCAGCTTCTTATACTCTAAGGCTGCAATTCTCCCACACTTCCTCCTCTAAACCTTTTTCCTAAGCTCCCCTCTCTGCTCTCACCTCTTCAACTCAAGAGCTCTAACACAAGAACACGAGGCAGAGAGGACTCCTGGCCCTGCAGATTCCCTCATGCATTACACAACATTAAACACACTGTCACCACTGACAGTGACAAGTCCTCAGCTTTCTGCCCCCAAGCAGAGGTCAGAGCCCTACAGAAAGCCCTGCATGTTGCTCTGACATGGCACAAACAGCAGCACCCTGCTGTCAGACATGAACTGAACACCACAGCCCTGGTGATGCACCAACAAGTCTCACATTTAGCTTCTGTGTCTGCACTGCAGCCATAACCCACACACATCACAGCTTCTCTCATTTTACTTCTTAAATGCTGAAGTTCTCCTTCCAAAACACAAACAAAACTCATTGGGTGACCAGGAGAACTGTTAGAAAATTCTCAGGGCTTAATACCCTCTTACTGACCAACACAAGATTTGCTCCATAATCTGATGCCTGACTTACTTTAATCCATACATGTGCAATTTAGTGAAAAAAATACCCCAAAAACAGAAGAGGCAGCACAGCAGATAAAAAAGGCTTAAAATCCACTTTAATAATGCATTCCTGTAACATTCCTCAGACAAACTCAAACTTGTTAGTGGGACAATTACAGCTTGTGTTCAAACAGTTTACACTAAATGAAAAAATCTTGTAGTACTTCTACACAAAAGACAGGCAAGGTTAAGATTATACAAACATTTGTTTCAGTTAAATCTTCAGCATGAGATACAGTATCTTTGTCCAATAGATTGTACTTTACTACCAGTAAAAATAAACAGCGATACAACACATTATCAAAAAATTCATCCCAACGAGATCCTCCCAGCCACACAGGCTGCACATGACGGTCAACTACTTTAAAGAAACAGATGGTCCAGATAAAAAGAGTAACTACAAGTTAGGAGGAAAAAAAAAACAGAAAAAAATGAACATAAAAATCTCTCCAATTCACTATATGATGGATCATTTGGAGCAATATAAATTTACAGAATCACGGGAGCTGCAAAGTACCCAGACGCTGCCCTAGTTCTCCAGAAACTCCTTCCCTGTGCTACACTAAGAAAATAAAATTAAAAAAATGCCAAGACTTACTGCAGTTTTATCTAGTTCTGCCTCAGGACTCCGGCTGCAAACAGGATACCTGGAATGGTCAAGGCATTGCAGTCCTTGCCAGATTTTACCGTTAGAGAACAACCACGGCAGCCTCCCTGAATCCATTTTCACATTGAAATTATAGGAATGCACCACATGAAATTCTCTATAAAACGTTTATCAGTCAGACTGCACTCCCCTCATCCTAGAGTGGCTTAACCAAAGCAGGCCCTAATCGACTATTCTGATACCCACCCCCTGAGTAGAACCCTGTATGGCCTGCCAAGATTCATTTCCTCTTTGGGGCAAGTGCAGGGGGCAGCTTCATCCTGTTAGTATCTGCGACGTTTGTTGGGGCCAAATTCACCCCCTGGATTTCCTCTGTTGAAGGCAGGAGGGTTCCCTCCCATCGCTCCCAGGCCTTCCATCGTGCTGCCCTGCCCAAAGCGATCTGCAGGCGGTGGTGGAGTCTGTATTGAAGAAGCAAGATGGCAAACAAAGAACAGACAGCAGTTAGAAGCCATTCAATTGATTCAAATCCTGTCCAAATCCTGCAGTTTCAGTTTATTATGCTATAAAAGTACCCTAACCCATCAAAACTAACCCCAAAACTGGACTGAGAAGGCTCTAATTACAGTTAAGCATTGCAAGACCCTTCCCTATCTTGGAGCCAAGCATATTGGAAAGCAGCTCATACACCATCCTCAGCCTACTGCCCTGCTGTGGAATGTGTGAGTAACAGTCTGGGAGAGAAATTTGCATTTCCATCGTATTTCCTCACCCAAACTGAATGTAAATGAAGAGCAGCACACTGATAATGCAGCACTATCACAATCCAGACATAGACAATGCTATGAATCCAAGATAAGTCTGAAATACTGACCCTGTGGCTTGGCCATATCCCTCTATTTCCATTCTTCAGTTCTCCCATCTCCCAGTTGTGCTACTGCACAGCCTCTTTCTTCCAGCAGGGAGAAGAGCAAAGGATTGCTCAGCTTGGAAGATACCTCACAAAGTCCCCAGTCCAAC